AATAGCGACAATAAAGATGATTTGAAATTTGCAATTTAAATAGGTAAATGTTGCATACTTATGCAACTTGGTGCAAGAAGTAGACATTTTCGCAATAAAAAGCTTCTTAAAATATGAGAGAATAACTAATAATGATACTGAATAAATGGGATTTTGGCGCAAAGGGCAGATGATAATGATAGTATAATGGGAACTTGGGAAATCACCGAGCATCACTGGGAAACGTTCATTCGGTTCATTATTATCAGCTAGTAGTCAATGATGACTGTATTAGCAAGTGAATAATATTCAGTGACAGTCTCAGATTGTTCATAGGTACTATGTATGTAGGTACAAAGTCAAACCATTTTGTCACATATCATTTGAGAGTAAAGAGACATCGGAGGCGGTTTAAAAGGTTATTCAAAAGTTTACTTAACAAGCCCAATTCCCCAATTTATCACTCAAATCCAATTAGCTTGAAGATGTGTTGAATTTTATAAAAGCTGACATGTATCTTTGCCAAGGTTATCCAGTGTGATCTACTAAATACGTTCAGTTTCGAGCCTCTATAAACAAAACAGAATTATTTATAGTTGGTGACTTTATGGAACTGGTTAAACAATTTAATTAATTGGCTTACAGTATTAACTAAACTACACTTTGATAACACGCTGTGATTTTCAGTGCACTGTTAAAAAGTGTTTGTGAACTGATTCACAATTACCAAGACAAATACTTGTTTTGTATTTCACGGGCTGAGAGAGTTAGTCCAAGTGCACTTCAAGGAATCGAAAGTCGTAATTTTGATGTCAGAACGTACTATCAGTTTCTATTGTTATGTCTCAAATGCCTTAAAATGATTTATATCAAAACCGTATTTTGAGATAAAAATTGTAAACAACGGAGAATTTTCCTTATCTGCGTAATAATGAAGGCAATCTCAGATTTTTACACATCTACTGATAATTATCGAAGGTAGAAACTCAATGATTTTTATATTTATTATAGATGAACAAATTAAGAGGAGTATTGGTATTCTGCAAAGTACCTACGATCACTTGTTTATTGAAAATAAGTCAAATTCCGAATCTCACATGATAATTTGGGAAAAAAATATTTAATGGTCGCTTGTTGTAGCTAAGTAATACGTCGCTTGTAGCATATGTCCTCTTCGTTGTTATAGGGGAATAGATAAGCTACATTTTCGCTAAATACCTGATAGTAAAAAAATCTGCGCAAATGTCTTGTAGTGTTGCAGAATAATTACCTGAAACAAGTAAACACTATTAAGTCATATGTGCAATTATGCATTAAAATAAATGGAATACGTATGATTAAACTATATAAATTTCTTGCTGGTGCATGGTGTGAAAAATGTGTGTGCCTCATCGTTTTTGCACGTATAAGCAATATGACGAATTTAGATCAACACAGTTTATAATAAATTGTTGAGTCGTTTTAAAGTGATAAGGCAAAGGAAAATTTGCCAAGCGAAATTGCTGACTTTTCTGAATAGCCCGTCGAAATCATTCAATTGCAATACGTTTGTTAATCAAATTCCCAATAAAAATACGTTATAAAAAATGTTCAACATTTGCGGTCTGACTGATCCACAATTTTGATTATCAGTCCTACTATAACTACTAGTAACTTCTAAAACCAATTAATTCTCTTCTCTTTGAAGAAATCTTTTACAAGCAATTTCATTCAGTGCCTGACTTGGAATTTACAATCCTATTCAAGACGAGCTTGTTTTTCGGGTTCGCCTTGTGAATTGTTTCCAGATAAATAGGTTAAAATGAGGTCAATAATTATTTCTCGTGTAAAAGTGGCGCGAGAAAAGCTGTGTCAATTTTCATTGTTGAATAAATTTGAGAAATCAGTCCGCATCCTAAAAAATACCTACTACCTATACCTAGGTTAGACAAACCACAATGTGCCATTTACAAAAAGCTGTTAAATTAAGATTGGATTTTAATTCAAGGCTGAGTTGTTTACATAAAAAGGTTTCAAAAGCTTAATTTATCTGTCGGGTGACACGAAAGTCCCATGAGCCGATGATTCAAAGCCATCAGGATTTTGTTTCATTTGACAATGAAATTGAAATCCCTTTGCCTTTGACAATTGGATCGCTCTATTAATGGGAAATTGAAAAAGTTTCAAACCCGGTGTCCGACTCTTTTCAAATAGATATGTGACAATCGTGTATAACAGTATAACAAAGCTTTTTTGATGTATCAGCAATAACTTTCCCGCAATATTTCAGATAAATACCAATGCATTTTAACTAATGTTTCCAAGTGCTGTCTTGATCTATAAATATTTTATTTGCACAATTAACGATTATTTTATTGAAATAGTAAAGCCGACTGCGCAATATGTTTGTCGTATCGCCGGCGCCACTCATTCACATTTACATAGTTATATTCCTAGTGCCTTCTCATCTTTTCCTTAGAATAATTTATTAGGTAACTACATAAAAACTCTATGCAGTTTTCCTCATGCAAAACAGCGGAAATTGACCGTTGAGGATTCATTAATTTTATCCACGTTCAAAATGACTTTAGTCAAGCCGACACTATGCACGCTTTTACAGCATTGGCTTTATATTTTTTACAACCTTTACTAGGCTATTAATAAAATTAAAAAACACATAACAGATTAAAGGCACTTTCCACCATTGTTTCTACGACAAGGTTCTAAATAGTAACATTTTCCTATTGCTTATGAAAGGTAATTAACTATTCCGTTTTAAAGTGGTTTTTTATCGCTCCCCGATACAGTGTACTAACTACAATATTTGAAATGGAAATGACAAAAATATCGAAACATTTGGAGGCGTTGAAAGAAAGTTTGAATGTGAAGATGCATTAAAACTGAGTCGTTTTGCAGCGCTCTCAGCAACCGTATTAAAACAGTTTCAACTTGCCTTCAAACCTTTCCTTGCGCTTAGCATTTAAAGCTCTTCACATGTTCCAACAACACGAAACTGCTCCAAAATCTCTCATATTTAATCAGGAAAATATTTGAGTTGCGATTATTCTATGCTTCGCACTTTCTCAATACACAATACTCAAGCTGTTATCAACTAAAAGAATAGTTTTCTTCTATTCATGTCTAGTATCTCAGGTACTAAAATCCCTATAACTCAGTACAATAGCCGTGTTGGGTCGAGCAGTGGAGATTTGTTTGAAGTATTTTCTTGAAAATACTACAATCTGTTTACTTAAAAACTGTTGCTTCGTTCTTTCATTCAAACCTCTTCCAAATTTTAATGAGCGGCTCTGAGAGTTAACATGTAACGCACGTTGGACGTTGTGCCAAAAAGTTCCGCTTGTTATTTTTTATTGTCAAGGGTTTTAAACTGACTGGATGGATTCACCAGTCGAACAATTTATTTAGTAATCAATTTTAATATCCGGTTCGTTCCGCTTGTTCGAAACATTAACCACAGATAGCAAAAGGACTTGATCATTATATGCATTTTTTTTACATTTATACATTTTCGTCCAGGTAGTTTCACTAGTTACTTTGAATACAAATTTTTTATACGAATCTAATTCACTTAACGTCATAGTTGTGGGTGTCCCAAAGTATTAACAAGATTTTGTTTAAAGTAACACTGGGTTTAAATTTAACTTTACGATGTTTACGCATCAGGTTTAAAAAGGAAGTTGATATGTAAGTAGGTAATTTATCGCAGATGATGTTAAACGATTTAAAAAACAATTAGCTTCAAACTTATGGAATTCAAATACCTACTTAAATATAACTGATGATTTGTAGATGAGTAAACTTTCTCTGTTAAGAATCTTGGAAAACATGGCAAGTTTAAGTCATTTTCAATTTTGAAAAATCCATTTTGCTTATAAATTAGATTGAGCGTCACATTTATTCACTAAAATCTACTGAATTGCCATTGAGATTGGTTCAAGTTTTATCAAATCGAAAATTCACTGTACAACACAGTGTGTTGGAATTCTGCAAAACTGGACATTCCATTCGGCTATTATTATTTTTTTGTTTGAAACCTTTTAAACGCACAAAAATAACATTTATTTCAAGGCACTTATTGATTGTCCGTATTGCTTAGGTGAAAATTGATATAGAATCTACCTTAAATGTCAGTTACACTCCTAGTGTACTAACATGGACTGTTCAAGTGATCTAGATAGGACAATTACCGCGAATATCCACTATCTGAGGAAAATATTTACTATCTCAGATAAATGATCTTTGTTCATAGTGGAAAACAATAATGTAGATGTTCCAAATATTCCTAATACATCATAGAAAAATTAATATGGTTATATACCCAAGGGACAGATCCTACCTACTAATCAGAGTTTTAGCGAGAAGGTTGAAATATTCAGTTAAGCGCCTCTTTAAAGTGCCGCGTACATTTTATAGTTTGCTTACCTTGATGTGATGTTAAAAGTATTTTGCTAACATAGTTATAATGATGGCGCATATACAAACTTTCTACACAATTTTAAACGATTCTGTTATTTCGGAATTACGATTAAAAAGTGATTGCAAGACAATGCACTTAAAAATGAAACTGCATACTACACATATTTAGATGCCCCCACACGTGTCAAAACATCTGCATCTTATTGTTAGAAATGCTTTACCTAAACCAGCTTGGCTGAGCTTTTTTTAGTTACAATCATTTTTATAGACTGTGAATTTTCAACTTTGATTCAGAACTTTTACCGAAAGTTACATCCATATAAGGTGTTAACATTTTAAGGTCACTTTGTTTACATGAAAAGTGAGAAATGGGCTCCTTGACAGGTTTAAAGTGCAATTTGCTTTGAATAAAGTTAAATGACTATCTGTTGGTCGTAAAAATCATTCTTGCAACGGAATTCAACACAGACAGTTGCGACCCTAAACACCTGCACGGATTTCATTTAAACAAATATTTATGCAAATGAAAATATTTTATATCAGAAAGGTTATTCCCAAGAAGGAACATCCAAGGAAGAGACGTTCAAAAGTAATCAAAGTATTACCTGTGCAGCAGATGTAAGAGCGACCAAAAGTGCCCAACATAATATTGTGGATATCCTAAAATACATCACTAAACTTGTATATAAATAATTCTTAATTAAACGTTTTTATTTTCAATAAAAAAAATTGATATGGCACTACACTACACTCTGACAGCAAAAGCATTCGGATTACTGATCAATCGTCCAACTTACACTGTTGTCAGGATATCTTTTGAGAAATTCTTCGCTTTTTGAATCCAAGCTGTGGCGCCAGCTGCTAGCAAACAATGTGCAGTTAGGTATTGTGTAGTTATTTTCCCGATTGTAAAATATTGATGTAGTTTTTATAATCGTCTTATTATTAATGCATTCACAGGGTTTACTTAACGATAAATTGTTTAAACTTTGAAATTATTTCGAATCATTATGGAAACTCCTTCATTGGAGTTAATTGAAATTATTTGTAAGAGTACATTTCTTCTCCGTTCAACCGATATTTTTGGATACATTTATATTTTTAATTTTCATACCACAAGTTTTCCAAAGTGACAACGTTGTGGTCTCAGTTTTTCTTGTATTACCGACCTGCGCCAAAGCGACGATCCTTTTTGATGGCGGTAAGTTTAACTTACTAGTTTCTCGACAAGTGGACAAACCAACCCAAATCTGCATTATTATCGGTAGTCTCAGCTTTTTAGACTTTAAGTCGTCGGACTATTCGGTACAAAACTACTGAATTTTCATTTATTAGTCCAAAGAGTGGCTATCAAAAACGCAATTTACTAACGAATTCCCATATACGTTGAAGAACGCAATCGGCGAAATGAATTTTTAAGATGCTTTAAAAGTAA